AGAGGGCCACNGCCCGTCACTCCCAATGAAGCGATTCGATGGGCAGAGGGCCATGTGGGAGCTATAAGGACACGCCAGTGAAGGTCACATTTCTTTAAACAAGTATAATCCAGAAGAGATGGGGGTGCTACATGAGGAGGTGAAGTCTCAGGAAGCGGGATCAGCACCCCTCTGACAGAAGCACAAAGGAGATTCATTTCCACGATGAGATTGATAAGAAAGAAGATTGTGCTTTGAAAGAGGGGAATTCCAAAAGGCGGAAGCGAGTGGATGATGGATGGATGGATGGATGGATGATGGATGGATGGATGGATGGATGGATGGATGGATGGATGGATGGATGGATGGATGGACAAACGGACGGATGGACTGATACTGGAAGAAGACGGGCTGGAGGCCGGCAAGTGTGGGCCTCGTGGGGGCGGGGGTGGGCAGGGCCGTCTGGACAGGGCCTCGGAGGAACCGGCTCACCGCAGGCCGTTCAGGCGCTGGGGACCGCGAGGGGCACCGCAATATCAGTATCGCACGTGTGAGCAGACGGGCCACGCCACAGGAGGGCTCAGGGCAGGGGGGAGGCCTGGCTTCAGCGCAGGAGCTGACAACCCACCAGACACAGCCAACCACACACATGTCACCTGTGGGCTGAAGCATTTTGAAAAAATTAAAATCGACAACATTAAACAAAACAGATTTCTATGAACAAGGATTCCAAGCTCCTTGTGGAAGAAACTGGAAAATCTAGTCACTCCAGGCTTACCGAGCAGACTGAAGCTAGGGCAGCAGCCCTCTGTGGACGGGATCAAGGCCTCAGGAACTGCAGTGGCCACCACACTGTCCCGGACACAGGCCCCCCACCCATGTACATTACCTGCCTGGGCTCCAGGGCGCCCTGAGCAGGGGGCTCTGCTCTGAGGAGGGCGNTGCTTGGAGGAGGGCAGCAGCCACTTACTAGACACTGAGGGGGAGCGTGTTTCATTTTTTTAAATTCTCACCCAAGGATATTTTTCCTATTGCATTTCAGAGAGAGTGGAAGGGGGAGGGAGAGAAAACGAGACAGAAACATCAATGTGAGAGAGACGCATCAATTGGTTGCCTCCCGCTCGGCTCACACACGGACCTGAGCGCGGGGATTGAGCCTGGAACTAAAGGACATGCCCTGGGCTGGAATCAAGCCCAGGACCCTTCAGCCTGAGGGCTGACGCTCTAACCACTGAGACACACCAGCACGCTGAGCGCGTTTCTTCTATGTCAGTTTCCTTTTCTGCAAAATGGAACTCTCGGTTTTGTCATCCAAATAAAATTAGATAATTTAATACTCAGTCCAGTGCTTAGCACATTATACACATTTCATAAGTGGTGGCTGCGATTATGAACTATTACAAGAAAATGTTTTTTTCAGGGCCAGGAACTACCATAAGGTTGCTTCCCACAGAGAGGCTCGGGGCATGCTGGACACAAGCGACGGCTGGCATCCACTTATCAGCTGTGTTCTGCTCTGACGGCCTTCTTTACGGGTAGAGACGGGGCTGACACAGTCCTCCACACACACACACACACACACACATACACACCNTCCTCCACACACACACACACACACACACACACACACTAGACACACACAGAGGCATGTTAATGCAGTAATTAAAATATTTCAACCGAACCAGCTTGTTTGCTTTTATCCAATTTTAAAACAACTTCTCTTTCATACAACCGATTCAAAGATACCCAAATCATTACATCATGAGCTTCCCTGACATCGAAGGCTTATTACAAATCCGAAGGAATTGGCCCCTGTGAATGGGTGGCACAGCTTTAAAGTCTCCGAGTCTGGGAGGAGTTTGAGACTGTAGGAGCATCCATCATATAAGCCTGTCAGACAGCAGTTTAAACCAGAGGATCACCTGACTGCACATGGGACGGAGCCATTTCTCCTGAGCATCAGTTAAACAGATAGCAGCCCCCTCACTGCTTTGCCAGAAGTGCCTACGGGGTGGCTTCAGTGCTGTCACTTTGCTAGGAGTAGTGGCTGGAGCTCTGGGCTCCTGTGTCAGACAGGAAGCTCTGTGCATCTCCCATGCCCAGTGGGCACGGATCGGCCACAGCACCCGGAGCACGGTCTCCACCAAAGACACTCATTTCAGAGAGCAGTCAGTGTAGAGAACATGTATGTTCTCAAGTGACAGTCTGTACATAGAACAGTAGACGTGTATTATTTTATTTTATCTTTGAAGCATGGCTATGTGCTCTTGTTCCCTAGAACTCTCAAGGCTGATGTCCTATCAGGTTACCTGGGGACGAAGCACATGGTCAAAGGCCTAGAACTTGACAACTTAGAACCAACTGAGGCTGGTGGACCAAGACCTTGTCTATTCGAATGTTCACAGACAAGAAAACTTAGAGAGGACAAGGGACATTACATACAGCTTTTCCTGAAGGGGAAAGCTGCTTTTACAAGCTGCCATTTTACCAGAAAGAGAGTCCTCAGGGGTCATCTGTTGATTTTTGCTGCCCAACATCCACCCTGCTCCAAATTTCCCTCTGAAGAGTCACCCCGTAGATCCTCAGAATGAGTCCGCAGCCCCAGCCCTCTCTATGCACATAGACCCAAGCCAAGTACTTGCTTTAGTGAGTGGGCTCGGATACGNACATAGACCCAAGCCAAGTACTTGCTTTAGTGAGTGGGCTGGGGTACGTGGCCCAGTCAGAACCAATCAGACACGATGAGGCCTACATTGGGGTTCATGCGAAAGAGGCAGGTTGTCCCTATTGGACTTGAATGAGGGGACATGACGTCTGGGGCTGCTGTAGGCATCTCTGACCAACAGGGTGAGGCGTTTGAGAGTGATGTCAACAGAGAGGCCCAGGAGGGGCACGGTGGAGAAAAGGAAACCAACCTTGAGGACATCTACCCAAGACGTCCGTTACAGGACCTGATTTCCCTCATGTGTACATGAAAGGACCTAACTGTTCTGCGACACGCAAAGGCAGAGTGCAGGAGGACTGATATTCTGAGACTCCCCACCAAGCCCCTGGCATCACGGGAAAGCTTGGCACAGACACTCAGCGTTCCCAGCAGGGCCACCACCTGACCCTGAGGACACTCTGTCACTGCGAGAAAATGCAGGGCCCAAACCAAAGCCAGGGTGCTCGAGTGAGGGCGGGTGAAACAGGAGGGAGCGCCGATACGCAGAGGAAATGTCATCACGAGAGAAGTGAAGGGGAGAGAGCAAGTTCAAGGGCGGCTCTGGAGAGGCGCTCTCTCTAATTCTCATCTGCTTGCTGTATATTTTCGTTTTTTAAGGCTCTGGGNCTGTCACTGCGAGAAAATGCAGGGCCCAAACCAAAGCCAGGGTGCTCGAGTGAGGGCGGGTGAAACAGGAGGGAGCGCCGATACGCAGAGGAAATGTCATCACGAGAGAAGTGAAGGGGAGAGAGCAAGTTCAAGGGCGGCTCTGGAGAGGCGCTCTAATTCTCATCTGCTTGCTATATATTTTCGTTTTTTAAGGCTCTGGGCGTGTGGCCTTATGCGAACTGGCATTACCAGCAAAAACAGTTAAAGTATTTACCTAGGGGGAAAGTGAGTGCATTTATCCAAGAAAAAAGTCTTAGAATTTTATTTTGGGCTAAAATGGGTTTATATTTGTTTGAAATTTAGTTTAAAAATACTAGTTTTCAACTGAGGGACACAGAATAATAGGGCAGCTTTCAAAGCTGTGCTCGCATGTAATTAAATAGTTTGTAAGAAAGCTGCCACCTCTGATGACTAAACTCGTCAGCCGGCCGACAGCACCTCCCGAGGCTGAGCGTGGGTGTGGACCTCAAACCTCCCTCTCCACTTACATGGGGACTCTGCACGGTTTTTGGCTGGAGGAGAATTTTGTGTTCTGTCTGTTTTGACGGGTATGTGGGTACCTGAGGGAGACAGGAAGAGTGGAAGGCATGTAGGTGACGGGGTGACTTTGGACACGAAGCTGCTTCAGGGTCAGGGCCCAGTTAGGACTGCGCGGCTGGGGGAGCCATCACCTGGAAGGCCCGTCAGCTCTGCCAGCGAGGCGGACACCAGCATCCCTAAGCAGGTGACAAGCAGCCGTGGCAGTGATGAGAGGACACCCTAAAAGACTGGCACAGAACAGAATTCCACCAGCGGCGAAGGGACAAGGACAAGGACGGCCTTTATTCCAGGCACCCGGGAGGCTCCCCTTGAATTTCCCATGCACACCCGGCAAGGAAACTTTGACCTTGGGAAGGAACACGGAACCACAAGATCTGGAATTAAGGTTCCTATAGCTCCCTTTACACTCCCTGTGCGTGCAGCCTGCGGCACTCCGGTTAATCACTAAAGCCTCCCATAAATCCTCAAGTACACATACAGTTCCAAGGAAATGTACGTGAAAAATTGACGTCCACACTTAGAGCAAGCAGTTGGGGCAGGTCCCTCTGGGTCATCCCCCAAGAATCCTTAAGTCGGGATGAATGATGAACTCAGTCTGCCACTGATCAGCCTGACAGCTGCCCAACGCCACCACTAATCCGTGTAGCTCTAGATATGCAAGCTAATATCATGACTAACATGCCTCAGAAAGCCACCTGATGCATCTAGAAGGAAAGCGAAAAAGATGTTTAGATTATATACCTACAGAACAGCTTGCCTTCACTTGTGCGGGTGGGAACTAATGACATTTCCAGCCCACACCTTGGGACAAACTTAATAACATTCTAGAGCTGCATACCATCTTTCTGGAAGGGGCGTTACTGCTCCCACCTGCAGGTTATACTCATTTTTGGAAGCAGTTACTATGACAATGGTTCCATTTATTTTTTATTATTCTGCAATGCCAGATTTTCCTTTTCTTTCACACAAAACCCACATGCTTTGACACCTACAAACAGATTAACACATTCTCTCTATAGCGGGATCCTCACGTCAGCTACAGTCAGAAGAAGCTGCATGTCCCCCAGCAATGCGACAGCTTCCAAACCTGAAAACACAGGTCACTTACCCAGCGTGGGAGAAGCTGTCGTAATTTGATGGCTGGTGCTGGGAAGGGCCTTCTTTCTGATTTCCAGATTTTAAATAACAGGATCTAATTTCCCCTACAAAATCACAACATTTCAGCAAAGAATATTACGCAGTTATTAGTATACCATCGTTTCACCTCATACTTTTTTCAAGTTAGAGAAAACACATTTTGAACTGTTTGAATAAAAATCACGCCCTGGCCAGTGCTGCTCGTGGCTGAGCGTCACCCAGTGCACCAAAAGGTAACGGGATCGATTCCAGGTCAGGGTACATGCCTGGGCTGCGGGGTCACTTCCCAGTAGGAGGTGTGCAGGAGGCAGCCAATTGATGTTTTGCTCTCTCTCTCCCTCTTCCTTCCTCTCTCTCTAAAATAAATAAAAACATTTTTTTTTTAAATCAGCAGTCTAGATCCACTCCATATATTTCTCCATAAACGTGAAAGTTAACTAAGAATATCTTCCTCTTGCATCTCTCTGATAATAACGCTTAGACAAGTTTGGCTCAGTTACTTATTACTTGCTTTTGATAGACTAATTTATATCATCTCTTAATTCACTTTTATATATTCTCATCAGTGCATTTTTTGTATATTCTCTCCATGTGTCAGTATGTTCTGTGTACGCCGGGGCTGGGTGTTGGTCTGTGCCATGTGCAAAAGGAGGCTCATTCAGCGTGTGGTTTTGATTGGAGGACCACGTGGGACATCCCTACCTTTGAATTTGCAGCTGAGCAGTGGCACTGGCTGCTGGGGCGGCCGGGTAATGAGGAAAAGCGAGAGATGGAATTAATCTGCAGTTCAAGAGTCTGCTAAAGAGGCTGAGGGTATTGGGGTGTGAAAATCAGTTCACTTTGTAAATGTAAACGGTCTCTCCGCAGAAGAGGTTTCAGGAGTTCCTTCTTCAGGTGACACGGGAATCTAATTGACTTTGTCTGCTGTGAGCAGCTGGAATGCTGAGGAGAGCGCTGGACCTGGACCTGAGGGGTCCTCCCACCAAGAGAACCCTTAGCAGCGGCGACCACTGCCCCCTGGAGGCTGAGGCAGAAGTGCCACTGCCCCACTTCAGGACGTAGACGTCCCTCTGCACTTCCGCAGACAGGAAGCACTTCAAAGCAAAACTACTGACTATAGGTCGGGTACCATGTAATTCAGTATTCAAACCCAGATCTTTCTGAGAGTCAAGCATTAATTTATCTATAAGGGACTTAAGCCAAGACTCATCCTCGAAAAACTAGGAGCTACATCCCTTATCTGTAGAACTTAGAACTTGTCACTTAGCGGTCCCTCCCTCCCTCCCTCCTTCCCTTCCTCCCTCCCTCCTCTTTGTTTTCTTTTCTTTCTTCCTACTACTTTAAATTCTTTTTATAACAAGACACTAAAAATATATATCAAGGTCATATTTTCAACATAGAACAGAATCTGATCACGCCTGGGGGGTTCAGGAAAAGTTTGCCTAAAGAACTTTCTTCAGGCTTGAGATCTGAAGGATGAACAGCACATTGCGGGCACAGGGACACAGTGGGCGCAAAGGCCCTGGGGCAGGAGAGAGCACTCTGTTCTAAGAGCATTATATGTGAACAATTGTAGGACTAAGCTTTCCTGTTGCAAAGACTCAGGCCCGGAGACCACGTGGAATCCTAGAAAAGCTGCCAGTCTGCCCCTCTTTCCTCTTTAGCAAGAGCCCCAAGGACTCACCGTGCTCATCAATGAAGACGTGCATGGCATCCACCGAGATCTCATCTTGCACGGATGTTTCAGGCCCACTGATGACTTGCAAGACAGAGCTGTCTTGTTGGGAAGTCACCCTGTAGATTATTTGTCTTTGTCTACTGCCCTGGAAGCTTAACATACATAAAAGGTTCAAACACTATTAGGAGCTCGTCCTTACATTTAGCAAAGCGTTAAAAGGCACAGCCAGCAAGTGAGGCCACCTCGCACTTGGCACCAACGCGAAGCTGAATAAGCAAGTTATCCTTACAGGGCCGTGCTCTTGGCGGGCTCGGTGCGCACAGGGCTGGTGCGCGTGTGCTCCTGACTCGGGACGTCCGGCTTCCCTTGCTTGGAGTTGTGTCCACTGGGCTGCTCACCTTCCAGGATTTCATTCTTCCTCTCCTGGGAGCAGATACCTGAAAAAGATCACTTCATGTGTTAATATAATATTTAAATAAGAAATTAGTGTGAAAGCACTTGGAAATAAGTTACCAAAACAAGGATAGAGAGAAAACCTAAATAGCACCTATGAACTCAATGCATTTAAATAAACTTCATTTCACTCTGTAAGTACCTAAATACATCTGAAAACAGAAGCGCGTGTGTGCTGGAGACACGTCATTTAGACATCTACAAGTAGGTACTTCACGTGCAGATACAGGGACTCCCGTGAAATAACTCCGGGACCCTGGCTTACCTGGCTGAGAATCACCCATTCATGTGACGAGGCCTGAAAGGTTCACGAGTCACAAATGGGCGGCATCATAAACAAGCCTGGCTACTATGGAGCAAGGTTGAATTTGCCATTTTAAGATTTCATGACTCTTTTCTTCTTACTCACTCCCCAAATCTAAACTTTCACGCTAACGACAGAGCTGGTCCCTCCACAAAGCAGATGCTGATTAGGCAGAACTGGCTTTGAACTACGTTCCTGGCCCTGTGGAAGACACAGTGAGACGCTCCACCTGCTCTTTGCCCTGGGGATATTTTAAGGTAAGAATTTTAAGATCAATAGGTACAGACTGTCTTTCTGACTTTTAGAATCCTCTTTAAAAATGGACAGAAGACAAGTGTCAGCCTACACCATTACGCAAATGGAATCCACTCTAAAGGTCAGCCGTCCCTTGTCTGGGGACACACTCCAACAGACACTTTACAGGTCACAGTGACAGTGATCACTGTATTCCCCTGACCAAAGATACCAACAAGTATCTGCTGAGTAAGTTTTTGCCAGAAAAGACAGGACCAAGTTGTTCGAACTGCAGATCCTTTCAAGACCTGTCATCCAGAAAGCGCAGCAAGATCGGCCTCAGCCTGAAATAGTAAAGTTACGTCCGCTCCCCTGGGGTATAAAATCACAGATTTCAACTAATGAGAGCAGCACTGCTGGCTTCCACATGAGTCCTGAAGATATACATTCCCAGCACATCTGTGAATCTACCATCAGAAAGTCTTTGGTACAAATATGTTTGCATTTCATTTGACAGCTTGGCAAGATAGAAGTTTTCACAGTTTTCAAAATATACATTTGGCTATCATAACAATAGCTTTCCCCAGTAATCATGCCACATAAAAAACTGTAGTAAGGCACCCTGGCTGGTTTGGGTCAGTGGTTAGAGCATTAGCCCATGCACTGAAGGGTCATGGGTTCGATTTCCAGTCAAGGGCACATACCTCGGTTGCAGGCTCGATCCCAGTCCTGCGGGAGGCAACCAATCGATGTGTCTCTCTCACATCGATGTTTCTCTCTTGCTCTCTTTCCCTCCCTCCTCCCTCCTCTCCATTCTCTCTTATAAAAAAAAATTCAATGGAAAATATATCCTCAGTGAGGATTAAAAAAAAAAAATCTAGGAAAGGCACGTGTAGACAGCCCTCCCTCTTCACACTACATATATGTGGAATCATTTGTTCCCATCTCTTAATACCTCAGTCTCTCCTTCTCTTGAACGGGTACATTACATGTGTCAACATATAGACTATCTTTTCCTTTTACCTTTATAAATGCACTTATTGGAATTTTATAAAGCAGTACACACTAACTGTATATAATTTAAAACTAGAAATGTAACTTAAATCACTTTTAACCCCACCATGACCATATGGAAGCCAATTTGATAAACATCACACCAGTGTTTTTTTTTCTAGGCACAGATACTTACTTCATTTTTTTTTAAACTTAAATCATAATACAGATTTTGTTTTATAACTGTTATATTTATCTTAAAGTATTATAAACATTTAATGACATTAGACATTCTTCTATATCATCCAAAAATGGTAGTTTTATAATATTACATTGTTACAGTATAATTTATTGAACTAAGCCCCTATTGTTATAATTTTAGGTATTATAGATAATTCTTAAGTAAGCATCTCTACATACATCCATAATTATTTTCTTAGGAAGTCTAGAAGAAACTAAATATACAAATGGACAATAGATATGAAAATACAACTTTGACCCACAATCTACAGCAACCAGCCCCCAAATCAACCCATGATATCCAGTAACCAGCCCAGGAAGCCAACATACTATGTACTTGTAGGAAATTAGGCCACTATTTCTAGCAAACAGTCCAAGAAGCCAAATAATAACCCTGTAATAATCAGCCCCAAACGGCCAGCTCTTGATTAATAACTGGCAGCTTCCCTAATTTGTGTTCCCACCTTCAACTTAGGACCAACCAGAGAAAGCCAGGCACGTCCCCCTCACCAACCACCTAGGATGCTCTAGTAGCCGCCTCAGCTTCCAGGCCCCCAGCCTCCAGTCAGCACACCTGGGACCTTCCTTGCCCTCTCCTCCGCCTGCCCGAGTCTCTGCCCAAACGCGAGTGATGTTTCGAGGGCTCTGAATAGCAGCCTTTGCTTCTCCCTTGTGTGGTCTTTCCTTATTTTCTCCAAGTAAAATCATGCTCTAGCAAAAGAAAACCAAACTATGGTTTTAAAGTATTTTGAGAAGTGTGTGGTTTTCCATAGCCTTGAAGTTTAGGGTATCTCCAAGCCCTGAAGACACCCCGAAACCCTTGTGGAGATGGCCTTGGATGGAAATAAAGAACACAGTAGAGGAAAAAAAGAACAGGAGAGAGAGCTGGGAAGTCACTGATCTCAAGCATTATTCCGCCACGCAGGAGAAAGATTAGGAGACATCCCCTCGCCTGCCAGTATCACTGAACATGCTGTTTAACGAATACACTCCAAAGGGAGGTTTTAGATGAAAATAAATAACAAACTATTATCTGGTGATGAAGGAGCAAGGAAATATTAACAATCACACAGACAGAAGGCACCACTAAAACACCACCTAATTTGCCACCTTCGGCGCCGACTGCCTTCCAAGAACTAAACGGCTCCTCACACTTTCTTCACCCCTCGGTTAAAAACCTCCGCCCTCCCCTGGAAGAAGCTGTCACGCACTCCAGCTCCCCCCTCCCTGCTGTACCTGAAAGTCCCGCACCCGGCGTGGTCCCTCCCCGAGAGAGCCTCGCAGCACCCGCACCCCTTGGCACACCCCCCGGATTTCCATTTTCCCGGTGCTCTGACTGAACGTGGCTGGCTGGAAATCCTAAGAGCAGAAACTTAGAAAACAAACCAAAGAAACCTCATCTACCGCCTGTGGGGAAATCAGAATAAAAGTCTGAAGTTGACCAGACAGCAAAACCTTTCACACTTTCTCCTGAATGAATGCTCACAGTAAATTATTCTGGTTTTGTTGAAGACGCTGTGGCCGATGGACTTGGTAAGTTGTCCGCTCACTCGGCTGGCACTGTCAAACCAAAAGCCAGCCCTGCGCTGTCAGGGGCCAAGGCCAGGGCCCCACCTCCGGGCCCACAGCTTCCGGGGAAGACACGGGTCATCTGGACCAGCACCGCCCAACACAGTAGCCAGCAGCCACGTGTGGCTATTTCAATGAATTAAAATTCAGTAATTCAATAAAATTAAAATTTCAGTTGCACAATCCCCATTTCCATTATTTAATAGGTACATGTGGCTAGCAGCTACTGTACTGGATAGCAGATATGGGATACTCCCATCACTGTAGAAAGTTCTGCTGGACAGTGCTGGTCTAGAGGCATGAATCTTTATATTAAATAGAAAATGAATACCCTTGTCTAAAAAAATCAGAAAGGGTTTTATCTCAAAGTAACCAATGCTATCTTATCCTGCCTATGTCTGTTAAAAAGTTGAACTGAATCTTTCCTGTTATTACTCTGTACACAAAATCTTAAATAGTAGAGAACACATTCACTTTACATAATTTAAGTATTCAAACTTAATGATATTTTAATCAACAGTGAGCCAATCAGCAAGCACACCATCCTGGCGGAGCATGGGGAAGACAAAAGAGACAGAGCAGGTTGCTGGGAGCTGCCAGCATGGAGCCAAAG